ATTACTGGAAAATAGTCAGATTTTTGGAAGCATGCGTAAAGTATAAAGAAAATCATGCAATACAGCATAATCATCTTATACAAGATTATTACTCTAACAGGCAAACTATTTTAGTTATATTGTGTTATTCTGCCATTAGTACCACTTGACTGCCAACTGTGCAACAGAGGGGCTGCAATCAACAAGGATCTTTGTGTGTTTTCCATTGTAAATAGTATTGAGGACAGAAGGGAGAAAGGCATCTAATGGCAATTTCTTCAGTGATTAAGAATACTTGAGATCCATTTCAGTGATCAGAAATGTGTCTTAATGAGACAATTAGTCAAGACATAAAGGCCGCATAGCAATTTAGTTTGGGCTCCTACTGGTACAATTTAGTGTTCCTTATGATTTGACTTTCACAATAGATGGTATGGAAGTCACTGTAGAGAGAATCTACAAGTAAGATTTCCTTGTTCAGTCATCCCCATATGGCTCTAACCATAGGACATGCTAAACATGAAGATTTGAAATTACAGTAGTCACTTTAAAACTTTTTTAAACATTAAATCTCTTGGCTGGATATCCTATTGCACTGGATTTTAGCAATCTAAAGACACCATGGCAACTAATTGCCACTAACTTTTGGGTGGAGGGGTTGAAATCCTCAAAGTAGAACTTAAATTTCTATTTTAAACATTATTTTTTCCTTTTGTAACAATAAAACAGTAGAGGAGACATCACACATGCTGGGGCAGAATTAAGCAAATCGGGCCTAAGATCTGCCTAATAAGTTCTAACAAGGCTGCCTAAGAGTTCGATGAATTTAGTTTTTGTCTTACTCGTTCTGATAGTAGTGAATCTTTTCTTGGTTTGAGGTGCTGCAGAGCAGTGATGATGTTACTCTAACCTAGTGGTTCTCAACCTATTTACCATTGTGGGCCACATATACGGCCCGGAATGTGTTATATGGGCCACCTCCAATACTACCTGTATGGCCCTGAAGATGTCACATGGGCCACAGCTCTGTGGTTGAGAACCACAGGTGGAGAACCACTGCTCTAACCCAAAGGAAGATTTACCTCTATCTGAATTCAAAATTCAGACTCTTATCCCACATTCCTTCCAGACCCAAAACTCTATCCTGGCAAAAGCAGGCTCAGCTTCCACTAATGTCAATGAGAGCAGTGGCTGCTAATAGCAGAGATGAATTTGGCCACATGGCATCAATGGGAGATTTGGATAGGGTGACCAGACAGCAAATGTGAAAAATCAGGATGGGGTGGGGGGTAATAGGAGCCTATATAAGAAAAAGACCCCAAAATTGGGACTGTCCCTATAAAATCGGGACATCTTCTCACCCTAGATTTGGGTGTGCAAAGAATGCAGAAAGAGACCCTCAGTAGGTTATTGGTGAGGCCACCCACTATGAGTTTTTATCTAAAAAATGTAGCTTCTGACCAACTGTTTAATTAATAACTTTGGGGTTCCTATAGATTCTTAACAGTGAGTATCTCCTGAAATCATTCACATCTGCATGTTCCTGAAGGATCACAGTATCGATCAGAGGCATTCTATTTCAACTTTGAATTTAGTATAATATTTTGAATTATTTAATACATTCATTCAAATATGAGAGGTTCTTTGTAAGAAATTAAAAAGAAGTCATGTCCTTGTGTATTGTATAAACCAGGGGTGGGCAAACTTTTTGGCTCGAGAGCCACATCTGGGTGGGGAAATTGCATGCAGGGCCACAAATGTAGGGCTGGGGCAGGGGGTTGGGGTACGGGAGAGAGTGCAGGGTGTGGGAGGGGGTGTGGTGTGCAGGAAGGGGACCAGGGCAAAGGGTTGGGGCGGAGGAGGGGTGCAAGGTGTATGAGGGGGCTCAGGACAAGGGGTTGGGGTGAAGGAGGGAGTGTAGAGTGCGGGAGGGGGCTCAGGGAAGGGGGTTGGAGTGCAGGGTGCAGCAGGGGTGCAAGGTGCAGCAGGGGGCTCAGTGCAGGGAGGACGGGTGCAGCACAGGGCTCAGGGCAGGGGGTGGGGGCAGGAGGGGTTCAGAGTACAGGCTCCGGCCCGGTGCTGCTTACCTGGAACAGCTCCGGGGTGGCAGCGGCCCACACTGGGGCCAAGGCAGGCTCCCTACCTGCCTGCCCTGGCCCTGCACCGCTCCTGGAAGTAGCCGGCACCATGTCCCTGCGGCCCCTGGGGGGAGGGAGGGCAGAGGGCACCGCGCGCTGCCCTCGCCTGTGGGTACGTCCCCCGAAGCTCCAATTGGCTGCGGTTCCCCGTTCCTGGCCAATGGGAGCTGCTGGGGGCGGTGCCTGCAGGCGAGGGCAGCGCGTGGAGCCCTCTGTCCCCGCTCCTCCTCGCTTCCGGGAGTGGCGCGGGGCCTGTGGCGCCATAGGGGTGGCAATCCCACAGGCCGGATCCAAAGCCCTGACGGACCATAGTTTGCCCATCCCTGGTATAAACTAAAAACTTTTAAATTTGTTTAGAACTAGGGCTCACTCCTTCAAGCTCTCTGCATATCTCTTCCATTGACTTCAGTGGGCGTTCCAGATACAGAGAACTTAATGGGCCCCTAGTCTTCCATTCCTGGATATAAAATGTTCCCAATATTAATTAATTTTGGCTTAAATAATTAATTTAGATCAATCAATCTAAGAGGTGCAACACAGAACTTGCTGCCCAGAGGGAGGGTTCAAGTAGTTTTAAGCCACCACTGAGCTCTCCTGATTCTGCGTTGTTCCAGAGGCTGGAATGGTCTCCGGCATAACTTAATACAGCTCTTGAGGGCTGGCTATGAGCAGCTGTGCTGCCTAGAATCCCTGCAGTGCTATGTGCTGCTGCTTCACGCTGACACATCCCTATGCTGGGGCTTGAAAACAGTCCTCTGAAGACAACCTGTGGCTGTCTTCCTCAGTTCCTGTGCTGGGGGAATTATCTGGGCTTTTTAGAGCCCTTTACGCTGCTCTGGTCCCTTTACCCAGCATATACAGACCAGAGTGGGTGAGAATCTCTGTCCTTGTCTTTTGTATTCAATAGTGACCATTTCTAAGTGCAGAACACACCTTTGTCATTGGTGTAAATGTTAATTTTAATACTCAGATAAAATTATATAGAGAAGGCTATTTCTACGCCCTCTTTTACTCAGAGTAAGTCAGGAAGCATCCCATTTGAAGAAAGCAAAAAAGTTATTATTTTGTTTCAGTCTTCTGAAGGGACAATAAAGTTCCTGCTTCACACAATTTTAGCTACTGGTATGCTTAGTTCTTCCCACTTATTGAAGATGGGTTCTTAAATGCCTCTGGCATTCTTGTCTTATTAGTAAGAGACCATAGCAGGGCATACTGATGGTATTATTTTGACAATGTTTCATTACTTTGCTTCAGATCCATGCTGCAGTAAATGCAGTTTGGTCATTTGTAATTGAAACTATCTCCCTGCAGGTTATAGTTAATAGGAGATGTTCTATGGGGTAGCGTTTGATTATCTCTTGATCTATAACGGTGAGCTTTTGTCTTCCTGTAAACATGTTGTTAGAAATTGTGGTTGTACCACCTAAAACTACTTTAGGGCAACTACCACTGTGCTCCTTTGTTCAAATAGTGGCACTAGGGTGCAAAGATTGACCCAAGGAGTCTTCTTGTTTCACAGGAAGGAAGCGATCAGTTTCCAGTTTATCATTTTTGAAAAATGTATCCAGGACCTGAACTGAATAAGCTATTAAAAATGCCAGCAAAATGATCATTTTCAAACTACTGCATTAACCTGAGCAAAATTGTTAAAATGGACTTAAGGTTGACAGTTGCTTGCAGTATTGTTGTAGCCATGTTGGTCCCAACATATTAGAGAGACAAGATGGGTGAGGTGATGTGTTTTATTGGACCAGCCTCTGATGGTGAAATAGACTAATTTTCAAACTACACAGAGCTCTTCTTCACATCTGGGAAAGGTACTCAGGGTGTCACAGCTAAATACAAGGTGGAATAGATTTTTGAGCATAAGTAGTCAACACATTTTAAGGCCACTTCACCTTTGGACATAAGTTGGTCCAATAAAAGATATTACTTCACTTACCTTGTCTCCCTTAAGGTTGACAGTATGTATCAATAACTTAAGGATAAAAAAACCCTGGAGTTAGAGCATTAGAGAGCCAGCAAATTCAGAATTAAAATTTTAAGAAGCACAAACATTTTAAAAGTATGCTAATAAGCAGTTAAGGTTACCCAAACAACATTAACCCTGACCTCATGATAACAACATTCTCTCATCTTCCTTCCCTTAGGATGTTTGCTAAATACTCTAGCTTTTGTCTAATTACAGAAAAGGGCAACAAAAATGATTGAGTATGGAAAAGCTTCCATATGAGGAGAGAGTAAAAAGACTGGGACTGTTCAGCTTGGAAAAAAGACGACTTTAGGGGGGATATAATAGAGGTCTACAAAATGGTGTGGAGAAAGTGAATAAGGAAGTATTATATACTCCTCCACATAACACAAGATCCAGGGATCACCCAAAGAAATTAATAGGCATCAGATTTTAAACAAACCAAAGGAAGTACTACTTCACAAAGGAGGCTAGAATCAGCACAACTTCTGTATGACTGAGTATGGGATCCTAGTTTTGTGGTCACTGATAAAACTAACTATTTAGTATGGACTCTGATTTTTCTTAGGAGAGCATTATGGCTCAGAGATATTATCATTTAGGTGTCTTAAGCACATTTCCATACGGTCAAATGTTTTTGTTTCTTTTAAAATTAACCTTAACTCTGAACTGATGGTCTTAACTTGAAAAGCTTCTCCCTAGATTTTCTTCATGGCAGAAATAGTTACACACAGTGATGATGTAATGTGTTGAAAGAAGAGGTGACTTAAACTTAAACTCTAGAATACCAATGTTGTAATTTAAAAGAATTTATTAAAACCATATAGAAACTACATATGAATCTGTAATATATTTAGTTGATTCTGTAAGAAGGTAATACATTCTTGTTTATTTGACATGACCATATTTTATTAAATTATGCAGAGAAATACTAAAAGATGTGAAAATGTACAGAACGACCTTTATCCTGGCATTTCTGATGCCATTGTAATATAATCCCTTGGCCTACAGTAAACCAGTGTGAGAGAACATGTGCCTGCTAATCAGTAGGCATTTAGCACTGCTAGTCTGGCTTCTTCACATAGTGGATCCAATTTGCCATCACCTCCTAAAGGAGAAAGATAACACTTACAAAGGATATGCAGAGTAAATAGATTTTCATCTCATGCTCCTCCTCCTTGTCATAACATTCATATATTCCTTTAAGTTCTCCCATTCAAGTACTGGAACCCAACTCAACCCTGCCTCTTGTGTGATATCTGACAGGATTCCCAAAAAGGTGGTTAAATCTTCAGACCACCATAAATCCTGATGTCATGGAATAGTATCTGGGTTTTCCTGGGATCCTACACAAGTAACAACCAGGACTGATCTTGGTGAGCTGAATAATTTGATGACACTGGATTCAGTATGTCAAGGCTGGATCCCCACTTTGAACTTTAGGGTTCAAATGTAGGGGCCTGCATAAAAACTTCTAAGCTTATCTACCAGCTTAGCTTTGGTCCGCTGCCACCATCACAAGAATTCCCTCCCTGGGAAGCCTTGAGAAACCTTTCACCAATTCCCTGGTGAACACAGATCCAAACCCCCTTGGATCTTAAAACAAGGAGAAGTTAACCATCCCCCCTCCTTCCTTCCACCCTCCTTTCACCAACTCCTGGTGAATACAGATCCAAACCCCCTTGGATCTTAAAACAAGGAGAAATCAATCTGGTTCTTAAAAAAGAAGGCTTTTTTAATTAAAGAAAAAGGTAAAAATCATCTCTGTAAAATCAGTATGGAAAATACTTTACAGGGTAATCAAACTTAAAGAGCTCAGAGGACCCCCCTCTGTCTTAGGTTCAAAGTACAGCAAACAAAGATACACACTCTGGTAAAAAGGTACATTTACAAGTTGAGAAAACAAAGTAAATCTAAGACGCCTTGCTGTCTTTTTACTTACTAGTTTGAAATAGGAGAGACTTGTTTAGAAAGATGGGGAGAACCTGGATTGATGTCTGGTCCCTCTCAGTCCCCAGAGCGAACCACCCCTAAAACAAAGAGCACACACACAAACCTTTCCCCCCCCAAGATTTGAAAGTATCTTGTCTCCTTATTGGTCCTTGGGTCAGGTGTCAGCCAGGTTACCCGAGCTTCTTAACCCTTTACAGGTAAAAGGATTTGGAGTCTCTGTACACAGAGAGCTGTTACCCTTCCCTTCATAGTTATGACACAGTACTTGGAGTGAAGAACTTCAAAGAATACAGATACGTTGCAGGCAATGGATGTACACTGCTGATGATTCAGTAGATGGATAGCACTCCTCTCCATAAACCAGTATTTAATCAGTGCACCAGCATGGAATTAAGTGTTGTTGGCAGTGACATCGTTCAGATAACAAAACTGAAATCCTTGCCACATGTAATCGATAGTGATTCTATGACATTTTTGAATGGATAGAGGTTAATTTGAGCTGGCTGGAAAATGGAAATTCCTCATGGCAAAAAAATTCATGCTTTTGGGGGAAAAAAGTCCCAAATTGAGGTGAAAAGTCAGACTCCCAGGAAGGCTTTTGCCAATTTCACTTTCTCCCTGCAGGCTGAAAGTGAAATTGGCAAGAACCTTCCAGGTGAGCAACCAGGGAGGTGTCATTTTGACAAACCTGGATGGGGAAAATTTCCTAGGGAAAATTTCAATTTTGCAAAAAGGGCAGTTTCTGTTAGAAAATCATGTGCTGAAAACTCCCAACCAGTTCTAATATTAATTAGTGTTCTGGCCAAACTCCAGTATAGGTTATTAGATGTAGGTATACTAAATTCCACCTGCAGTTTCAGTTGAGACACGCTTCACCTTTTGTCCTAACCTGCTGTGCCCCGCACCAAATGCGGCTTTACTCTGAAATGACCCTGTTATATATAATCTTACCTACCTCACATAACTGTGAGGATAAATTAACTATGTATCATACTTATATGGCCCTATTACTGTTGACTCTGAGAGCCTCACAATCTTTAATGCAAAGAGACAAGGTGGGTGAAGTAATATCTTTTATTGGACCATCTTCTGTTGATGAGAGAAACAAGCCTCGAGCTAACACAGAGCTCTTCTTCAGGTCTTTAATGAAGTTCTTCTTCACAATACCCTTGTGAGATAGGAAAGTACTATTTCCTAATTTCATAGGTGGGGAACTAACATACAGAGAGACTAAGTGACTTACCTAAGATCAAACAGCAAGCCTGTGATGGAGCAGAGATATTCTTCTGGGTCGTCAAGCTCCAAGCGACTGCCCTAACCATTGAGCCATCCTTTTTCTTACTGTGCACTTTAAGATGCCTCATGTATAAGGCATTTTAGAACTTCTAAGTATTAATGTTAAAATTGACAGAAATTTTACTATGCCTTAGGAAGTGCTACTATTTCAAAACTAAATAGCTTTTAAAGAGGAGATACAGTGAAGAAACTCCTATACTTACCAAAGTCCAGGTCATTAATGTTGCACTGGAAAACAGTCTCTCCATTCACTATGAGTTCTACATTATTCCAATCTGGTATCTTTTCTAGAATAAGTTGGTGACCCTCTGCTTGCAACACAGCTACAAAAAGAGCAGAAAAACAGCATTTGCTTGGTTTTCCATGAACTTTTAGTATTTCTACATTCTGGAATTCATGAGAGCAAGTATCTGATAATAAGACACAGTGCAGGCAAGCACTGTGCAAGATTACCCACAAAATTCTACCAATTCTAATTTGTAACTTCACGATTATTACAGTAATGGGCCTGCTTTGATTGAAAAATTCCACTCTTTCTCAATTATAGTCTTGCATTAAAAGAAAGGCAAGAAGCTCACTATGCACTTAAATATGCTATTAATTGGCATAACAGCCATGAGGAACACACTTAATTAATTTGTAGGTAATTTCAAAAGAAATCTCCAATAAAATGTTAAGACAGTGCTATTGTGCAACTGGAGCAGCAGGCAATCAACCTTTAACTGTACTGTTGACTGGCACACATAATTCATCTTGTTTCTGAAAGAGTGCTTAGAGAATTATTTCTGAATATAATTTAATATTTCGGAGATTTTCTAAAGTAGTTGGAGAATCTGACCAAACATGTCCTCTGTATGTTTTTCCAAAACTCAATTTGAGATCCATTCTGAACAGACTGATCCATGTTGGCCACCTGCTTTCACAAAGTAGGAGGGAACTAGCTTGTTGCAGCGCATTGTACAGTGCTGGCTTAAATTCAGCAAAACTGAGGAAATAGGAGGACTGGTTATTAATACAGTTCTAGCAATTCATAATTAATGTATTGTTCTGGTTTGGACCTTCATATGCTTTGTAAATGGCATCTTACACTGTGTGTGCGTGTGTGTTTTTGGTAGTCTAAGCAAAATCCTGTAGCAGTGTACCATTAATTACTTATCAGTAGAAAACGAAAAGAGTTTGAGCTAATATTAAGATTAAGACTAATGCAAAACAGTCCTTTTCAGCTCAGTGTTCCAGTCAATGTTTCTTTCAGAAAAGTAGAGAGATGTATCAATTTTTTGCATCTAATTACTATTACAGTTGTTATGACTTTTAAGTATTGGCATGTGTCCACTTCATTGTTTAATCAGTTTAGCATAACTAGAGCCAACTGTGAAAAATATGATTACAGAATTTTAATGTAACTTCTTGCGAAACTACAGAAAGTGGCTCAGCAAGGAGTCCACTTAATAAGGTAGTGCTCCTTGAGTTTCCAGCAGTCTGACAGTTTGGGAGAGGCTTCATTAGATACTTTTGAATGCTTTCTGGAGAGTTTTAATGGTCATCTGTGATAATTAGCTCTGTAAAGTTCATATTTACAAAATATAAACTACTTGCAGTAGGTGGTATTCCACTTCTGTACTGTCCACTCCACCATTTATCTAATGTCCTCTAAATTAATTTCTGAAAGGCATAGAGCTCAATGAGGGACATACTCAAACAGTTTCATTAGTTTAGGATCTGATTCTGCAAAATCCTTACCCATGTGTGTTTCTTACACGTTCCACTGATTTCAGTGGACGTCTTTACATTAATAAACACAACATACACAAGTAAGAGTTTGCTGAATCAGACCCTTAATGTTCATTTTTTCTTTTGTTTTAATAAAGATATTGCATTAGAACAAACAGATATACAATTTATTATACAACAACTCATTTTAGGTGAATTTCCAGGTGTGGATAGGCAGAGGGTTTTTTTGTGCATAAACTATTGTACACGAATATTGAGTATTGTTATTTCTATTTACATCAGAGAAGAGTTTTGCAGCTATATTAATATAAATCATTTTAATTACAATTCTTCTCTTGTTTGGGACACTGAAATGAATATATTTTCCCACAGCTATGTATATCACCATTAAACCCTTCTAGCCATAGACAGCTCTACTCTACTTCTCTCAGCACTGCACTAAAGGGTTAAAAGCTTCTTTTGCTACCTTTATACTATTTACATCTCAAGCATAATATACTGAGCACCTCCAGCTCAGTTCCCAATTCAGAGGTCTCAGCTATGTACTGAGGGTGAAATCCTGGCTCCACTAAAATAAATGGGAGTTTTGCCATTGATTACAGTGGAGCCAGAATTTCACCCTTAGCCTCAAGGTATCCTTCTGTCTACTTTCTATTAGTTGTTGTGAGTTGTCAATGATCTGTTAAAAGGAAGACTAAATAAGATTACTTTGCTGGTTTCCAAGTATTTTATTTTACAGCTATCTTATCATGAATCTATGTAAACTATGAAAATACATAGACTTTAAGTTTATTTCACGCTTAGCAAAGCTTATGCTTTTAATGGATTTTTGTGTAACTGGAAAACTATAAGAATAAAAACCATGGAAATAAACATAACTTACCAATATCAGCTTACTTTATGAGCTAGAAAGGATTTTAAGTACTCATTCTTACTAAGTCAGACTTAAAGATCTACTCTGTTCTCCAACACAGCGGTTCTCAACCAGGGGTACACAGAGGTCTTCCAGGGGGTAAATCAACTCATCTAGATATTTGCCTAGTTTTACAACAGGCTACATAAAAAGCACTAGTGAAGTCAGTACAAACTAAAATTTCATACAGCCAAAATGAGAAAGTAATCCATTTTTCAGTAATAGGGTACTGTGACACTTTTTTGTATTTTTATGTCTGATTTTGTAAGCAAGTAGTTTTTAACTGAGGTGAAACTTGGGGTACCCAAGACAAATCAGACTCCTGAAAGGGGTACAGTAATCTGGAAAGGTTGAGAACCACTATATAACTTCCATTAATGGAAATTGCATGCCTAATTGCATTGATTTCAACAGTTACATGAGGGTTGAACTGGGTCTAATATGTGCCTTAGTTGAATTAAGGTGTTATATTTTTGAGGGCCAGTTTAAATGTCAAATACATGTATTTGGTAGATCAACTGATAAATCACTGTATAAAACAAAGGAGAGAATAATTAAAGTTATTCTTGACAGCCAGTTGTCATTAATTACATAGATGTTATGAGATGTTATAATCTTACTGAGCCATTATTCAAACTTCCCCAAAAAACAAAATCTGATGATTGGAGTGGTAGTTTGTAACCATTTGCACTGTGTAAAGAACTGCAGGAATAAAGCAGAAAGATTTTTTTTTCCCCTGGCATATATAGAAACAGACTATCCTCAGTGTTTACAAGCAGTGAACTGAAAATGTAAACACTGCTGCTGTATTTTATTAATAGGGATGAAAGGAATATTTACTCTAAATTTGATTTATATATATGTATACTTGTAATTTGCAGGTGTTTGTATTCAAGTGAGTGACCAAATAACTATAATGGCCATCACTGCTTTCAAGTTTAGTGGAGGTGAGATGTGGAAGGTGTGTATTTAAAACTGAGGAATAGTTACTGAAGGATGATCAACTTAAAAGTCACACTTCTATGTGAACACTGTTTATCTAGTGTTATATAGAACATGTAAGTTAACTATAACCGAAAACTTAGACAAATATTTTTCAGGGTTTTCAAACTTCTCTCGTATGTTGACAGTCCCTTGTGGATAGATAACTCGGCCCCAATCCTGCAACCACTTGTACAACTTAGGTAACATAGTTACAGCCCTGACAAAGCATTTTTAAAGAAACAGGAAAAGCTGACGTAAAACCCCAGAAACTGACCCGGGGCCTCAGATCCACCTAGTACATGAACCTAGTCAAACTTCTTTTTAACTAACTGGATTTCCAGTTGCCTTCCAGGAGGGGATTTCACTTCCTCCTCTCGCCCCGCTGGAAACGTTTTGCTGCAGCAGCTTGTCCTCTGTCCTTATCCCATTTCCTCGGGGCAGCGCGGCTGGTGCCCGTACCCGGGATAGATAAGGGAGAGCAGCTGCAAAGATCTGAACCTAACTCGGGACCGAGCACTTCAGGGGTGTGCCGAGAAGCGGCTGACGTGACGGGGAGGCCCCGCAGAGGTTTAAATAGGCGCCTAGGGCTGGCACTGCCCCGCTGGCGGCGGGGATCTCCCGCCACCTTTGTAACCGAGGTTAACACCTAAAGCAGGCTCCGTGTGAAAGCTGCTGCGCGAGGCGTAGGCAGGGGCGGGTCACGGACCCCCCGGCTCCCCCTCCCCACACTGGCGCAGGAGCGCGGAGGAGGGGAGGGAAGCAAGAGCTGACCACCCCCATCAGTCCCGCTAAGTGCCTGGGCCGGACTTGGGTCCCTGCCCGGTCGGGGGAGCCGCCCGCGCACCTTGCAGGCCCTGCAGGCGGAAGGGCCTGTGCTCCAACACCCCGCAGCTCCGGTAGGGGCCGAACCGGAGCGTCACCAGCGCGCGCAGGGGCATAGCGAGCGCAGAGCCCCGGCCCCACGACTGCCGCCGCGCCGGGCGGTTGCTAAGGCAGGGAACTGCGGGTCACGTGAGTGGGGCCGCCCTGCTGGGTGGGGCGCCCGGGCTCCAGTCTCCCCAGCGGCGGCGTGTGGAGAAGGGCGGGGACCGTAACCTGCCTCACCGAGGCCGGGCGCTGGCTGCAGCCCAGTTTCTGGCATAGAGCAAGGGCTGGCTGGGCTCGGGCTGCAGGTGACAGCGTGGCTGGCAGTGGCACGGTCTGCGCGCGGGTCCCACGCAATCCCACACAGTCTGGCAGGCTCTGTGCGTCGCACACAGTTACACACAGCCTGTGGGTCACTCAAGTGCAAGCTGAAACCAGCACAGAGCCTGGCACTGTTTGTGGGACACCCCCCCCCCCCCGAGGTTCACAGTTGTCAATTTTCACATGGTAAATAAGCACCCTTTCACAATAAGCCAAAAATCAAGGTAAGCCCATGTTAAAACAAGGCCAAAACAAGCGAATCCCTAAGAACCCAACACTCTATGTGACTAGATTTCCCACCCCCCCTGTGCAGTCTGGGACTTTGGTGGGCCCACTGTGCACCGCTGACTCTCTCCCCAGCTTCCCTCACCCCCCTTGCCCCTGCTTGCCAGGCACTGCTCAAAAAAAAAAAGAAGCAACAAGCTACAAGCCAAACAAGCAACGAGCTATGAGCCAAAAACTAGCCAACAAGCAACTCACAAGCCAATTAAGGCAAAAACAAGCTCAATTGCAGTGGTTTTTTGCAGGTTTGGCATGTCTGACCAGGTTTCACTTTCATTTGAAAAAGGAGTTTCCTGGCCTTGTGTATTTTGCAGTCATTTTCCCTGTTATAACCAATAAACATGAATGTTCATGTTAATAACCACATGGAAGCACATTCTGAAAATACAGTTACTGAATAAATGAAACATGCACTTGTGTAAAACACTGCAGTCTTGATGCCATAGGCTAAAATGTTATTTCTGAAACACACTTTTATCGTGTTTATTATGGTAGAGCATAAGGGCTGACCAAAAAATGGACCCATTGTCCAATGCTCGGCACTGGACAAACACAGAGCAGTAGGCAGTCCTCATTACTGACTAATGTCATGTTGACTATAAAGGTAATTTTGTTTTGAGACATTATTTAAGGAAAGAAAAGTCTGAGATAGCAGTTGAATTCTCTAACGTTTCCTAGACAGGAAAATAAGGGCTTCCAATGGAAATACTTTCTCAACTATAACTCAAATATTTTAGGTATTTTATACTGGTATTGCTGGAATGTAGGAGCAGGATTGAAACCTATAAGGGAAGGAGTACCATGTAGTGGTTAGAATGTGCACTTCCAAGTTTTATTTTTGGCTCTGCTACTTATATAGGGAGGTGACCATGGGCAAGTCACTTAACCTGACTGACTTAGGTCTCTACCTTCCATATAGAACATAGGGCCTTCACTGCCTTCTATCTTTGACAGTCTCTTGATGCAATCTCAGCTTCTTCCCATGTCAATTTGATAGCTTTCAGTTCTGCTTCAGTTGTGCTTTTCCATGTTATCCTTGGTCTACCTCGTCACCTCTTGCCCTGGAGATTCCAGTCCAATGCCTGTGTTATGTTATGCAGGTCTTATCTCCATATATGTCCTAGCTATCTCTATTTTTGTTCTGTAATTTCCTGTCCCATAGGTTTTGCTCCTCCATAATTCTTCATTTGTGGCTTTTTTTGGCCATCTAATATTGAAAATTTGTCTAAGGCAGTTGTTTATGGAAACTTGGAGCTTAGATAATAAGGTTTAATAAGTCTCCAAGTTTCAGTGCTGTATAGTAAGACCAACTCTTGAATGGTATTCAATATTCAAAGTTTCATTTGGAGACTAAGAGTCTGTTTCTTCAGATCCACTTTCAAGTTACGAAGTCATGTCTGGCTTTCGCTGTTCTGGCTTTAATATTTTTATGTATGTATAGATCAAATAGTAATCCTGTGTATCATCACAGAACTGCCAATCGAATACCAGTCACCAGTTTACATTAATTTTATAGATTTCCAAAAGCCTTTGATACAGTGGAAAGAACAGTTTTATGGAAGTTGCTAAACCACTATGGAATCCATCAGAAATTTGTAAACATCATTCAGAGCTTCTATGAAAACATGGCATGCCAAGTAATACATAACTATTAACTGACTAAGCCATTTGAGGTTACTACTGTCGTCAGACAAGGATGTCTTATTTAACCCATGATCTTTTTACTGGTAGTAAGTAGGTAATGAGAAGCCATAGAATGGTTTAGACATAAGAAATCCTGCATTTTGGCAGGGGTTTAGACTAGATGATCCTTGCAATCCCTTTTAACCTTATGATTCTATGAATAACCCAGGGGCATACAGTGAACTTTTACACAGAAGTTAGAAGACCTTTGTCACAGACAGGGGTGTGGGCGGCCAAGTCTAGCGGTCGGAATTGGAAGCAGAGGCCAGAAACAGTACCAAGGATCAGAGCCGCAGTCAGGAATCAGGAGTCAGAGCCAAGGGTCAGATCAGTGTCAGGAACAGAGCAGAACAGGAGCAAGGCATGTATCGGAGCAATCACAGTGGCAGGCAGGCATAAGCGTTGAGCAGCCGCTGGCCTGGTGCTGCTTCTGGGCTTAAGAGCAAGCCTGGTGATGCCTCTCAGCGAGTCAGGGAATGTGGTCAATCAGGTTGTTTAGCTGGTCCCAGGCTTGGCTGCAAGCCCTGATTCCTGACAACCTTGACTTTGCACATTACATCAATTTGCTATCCCATATCCATAGAGACGTGAAAGCCAAAACAAATGCTTTCCAGGCCTATGCACAATTAGTAGGGTTGAAAATCAACACCGAGAAAACTAGAACCAGGGAATCAACACACAACAAGAAACACCAATAACACTTTCTGGAACTAACATAGAAGAGGTCTGATATTTCACATACCTTGGCAGCATTAAAAGTATGTCAGATGGAAAAGATGAAGACATCATAGCATATAGTTTTAACATATTTGCTTAAGTAAGAAATGAGGCTAAAATAACTGCTGTCTGTATGATTTAAATAAACACAATCAGGTCTTTTCTTGCAATACTTTTTATTGGACACAGATTTTTACTGTTTAAATATTCTGAGTTCATAGTACCAATATACAGTTTACTTCAATTATATATATATCTAGATACAGATATTTGTTTCCTTAAAGCATAAAACTTAGAACAGAAACAAAATTAAGATGCTATAAATACACATTTACATTTGCCATAAATCTATACTATGTTATAAAAATAAAAATGTCACTAAAATATTAATTTTGTATTCTTGTAATTCACATACCATAAAAGGTTCAGATACATTGTTATAGCCATTTCCTGCTGAACTTACATGCATAGTGTCACTGAGACTACTCACAGGGGTAATGCCAGCAGTATTTTATCCCTTCAAATGCATCACCATTAAGATTTCTCCCACTTCTGTCTGTTCATTGTGGATTTTTATATTCACGAGAATCCTCTTTTTAAGTGAGATATCAGTCCATAAATATCTTTGAGCACAGTCCAGCATTGGGTGAGTGGGTGGGTAAACATGTGTATAGGCTTGGGAGGATCAGATTTTTATCAGTAAACATTGATTTCACCTTACACACACAAACTGATGAAAAAATATTTCCATTGATGATCAGAATCAAAATTTACATATAGGCAAAGGAAGAAAAACGTTGCTGAGAACTTGTTAGAGTTTGATTTATGGATATTTACTTTGTATATGTTGACATTTGATGTTGACAGTTTGTTTTTTAATGGTTATATAGCTTTAACTTTTTGAATCTGTTTCTACTGTCATTAAATAATTGTCTGACTCCCCCCATTTTCCTGCAACTCTGAAAATTTAAATAGATAAAAATTAAAAATGCTTAAAACCCATAATTTTGTGCAACTCTGAAAATTTAAATTAATAGTGAAAAAATGCTTAAAATAAGCAGATATCAATCAAAATTATTTAAAAAATAATTTTGCCAAGCCTATATACAGTATATGTTGGTATATATTGCATGAAACCTTACCATCCTAAACCATTTTGCAGTTAACAGGTGGATTTCAAGTGTCATCAACATGTTTATAATAAATCATTGCCACTTCCTATATTAATGTAATTATATTGAATGCATCCTGCCAAACAACATTCTCAAAACACTTGGTATGAGTGATCTATTCACAGCTTTGTAGTTGAATAATATGTAATAGTTTTTGGTTTGCTTTGCATAGATGCATATGCTGAGATTGTGTTTTAAAGCTGCAGAACAACATTTTATTCTACTGGTCTAAAACAACTAATTTTAAATACATTAACCAAAACTAACCACTTCCTGAAAGCCACAAAATATTCCACTGCAACACAGTTTCATAGAACATGGTGATATGCGATTTAGTTAACTGAGAGGCTGGACCGTAACTGAGAAATTGAGAACACTTTCTGGCATCACAGTTGCTATGAAGTTTTATCCAATTTGCATATATTAAGTACAAACTCTGCATTTCTTGTGCACAGAGACCCTGATTCAGTAAGGTACTTCAGTACATGATTAACTTTAAGCATATGAGTAGTTAATATTAAGTATGTATTTAAATGCTCTGCTACATCATCCATGGTGGCATATAAGGATTTAGTGATTTGAAAAGCAGATGAATAGGAAAAACAGGTCAATATATCTAAGCCTGGAATCATTAAGTAATTGGTGGTAATCAGCAATCAGTAAATATTGTTGGCTGTTGATTTCTTATTCGAATGAAAGGATGATAAAACCTTCCATTGTTAATCAGTTTGCAGCGAGGAAAATAAAAGCATCTGCAGATGAGTGATGCATACTTTTGTGGTCAGTTTTTTCTGCCTGCCAATTAATAGTAAATGAATATTATAAAATACTATAATTTTTTATCCAATCTGAATTTCAATGCATACAGTTGTATGCTGAGTACATAATAATTAGTCTGAGCTATTTTATGGCA